TAAGCATCATCACAGCATACAAAATGTGATTTCCCATCCAGAATATACTGCATAGTGACTTAATCATGCATATTATTATCCAAAATTACCTATATATATTTATATTAAAATCCTGCTGGTTCATACTGATACCTCTGTTTCCAATCCTACACCACTAGGTTCATTTCAGTTTTTCTTCCTCCTTGTTTATAATGCTTTTTCTTGGGAGTGAGAAAGCTGGCTATCATTACAGGCAATATGTTTATCTGTTTGTTTGAATCTACTATACAACACGAGAAAGTTATTTTTAAAAAGTAAAAACAAACAAACAAAAAAACTGCTGGACCAGCAGGTGGCATAGAGGTTAAGGTGCTAGATCCCACATGACTGACTACACAGTTCTAGTCTTGGACCCTGTGGTTTGAAAATCATGCTGGGTGATGTGCGAGCATGCCCAAAATCCTGAGAGGAAACTGGAGGGGAAGGGATTGTGGTGTGGCCATCCCCCCTGGGAGATGATTTCTCACTTCCTATCTCTCTGTCTCTCTGGCAAGCACACATCCCCTATAGCAAAACTAAAACAACAACAAAACCACTTCTGTGCATATGCAGTAGTTTCAGAATTGCTAACCTATATTCCTGTACAAAATATTAACTAGGGTACACTGTTTGTATGTAATTCTTTTTGTCTTTAGCCTTACAATAGCCAGTCAAAATACTGTCTTCTTTTTTTTTAATTGCCAGAGGGCATGCATGAGAGAGAGAGAGAGAGAGCACACCTCCCACCATGAGGCATGTTCATGCTGCAATCATTTTTCTTCTGTTTCTTCCATCCAGAGAAAATGGGCTCACATGCAGGGACGTGTGTGCTTTTCAAGCTGCCGGTGCTGTGATTTGTACTGCAGCTCAGCCATTTGGGATCTAGCTTGAGAGAGAGAGATTGAAAGAGGGAGAGACTGACTGAGGATTCTGCCTCAGCCTTCCAGCTAGCTATTGGGTTGTTGGAAAAGTCATGACACATTTTTGCATAGAAAAACAGAAAAATACATTATGACTTCTCTGACAACCCAATAGTACCAGTAGTGTGGACCACTGTACTCAGCCTGTTTAGGGTGGGTCAGGAGCTAAACCTGAACCCCCTTGTGGTAGGCACCTCTGAGTAGCATTTTAGCAGTGTGTACCCCTGCAGCTGAGCCCAATATTGAGGCAAAAGTTTTTACGTAAACATAACTTAATTTCTTCTGTGAAAACCCAGGGAATAGGATTGCTGGGTGATGTTACAAATATGCATGAGCATGTATGTATGATAGCTACATTTAAAAAAAAAAAAGAATAGCTTTGTTGAGATGTGAAATGTACGATTCATTGTTGTTAGTGTAGTCACAGAGTCATGCAGTCATCACCGGCATCTCATGTTAGAACATTTCATCGTTCCACAAAGGAATTCCATGTTCACTGCCAGTCCCTCCTGTTCTCCTCTCCTCCAGCCCCCAGCCACCACTGATTTATTGATACTTTCTGTCTCTATGGAGTTGTCTATTCTGGACTTCATATATTAATAAATGGGATCATACAATATGCCATCTTTTGTAACTGGCTTTTTTATTTAGCATTATGTTTCCAGGGGTCATCTACATTGTAGCGGATATTGATACTTGATTCTTTGTAATGAGCGAATAGCATCCCATTATATAGATATACCACACTTTGTTCATTCACCAGTCAATGGGCATTTAGATTGTTTCCACTTTTTGGCTTTTGTGAGTAGTGCTGCTAGGAGCACTTGTGTACAAATTTTTGTGTGGACATGTGTTCTCATTTTTCTGAGTATATATCTAGAAGAAGAGCTGAGTCATATGCCAACCATCAGAAGTGCCAGACTGTTCTCTAAAGTGGCTGCACCATGTTATAATTCCACTAGCAATACATGACAGATCCAATTTCCCCATATCCTTGCCAACCCTTGCTATTAATTGTCCGGTTGATAATAGCTGTCTTCATGAGTATCAAGTGGTATCTTACTATGATTTGGTGGTGCACATTTTTTTTTTTTTTTGGAGAGGTTTTTGCTATAGGGCACATGCGCTTGCCTTAGAGACAAAGACACAGAAAGTGAGAAATCACACCCCAGGAGGGATGGCCACGCTGGGATCCCTTCTCCAATTCTCCTCTCGGGATCTTGGGCATATACGCACATGCACCCAGCATGAGTTTAAGCCACTGGGTCCAGGACTCAAACCGCAGTCGACTGCATGGGAGTCCAGCAACATAGCCATTACACCAACTGCTGGTCCTGGTGGTGCATTTTTAATTAAAAAAAAAAAAAGAAGAAGAAGAAAGGAAAGCTGTAGAATTAGAGTCCCAACTTTGAAGGCCCTTAAAAAATGCACAGAAAGTCTTTCAGACCTGTTTCAGCTAGTTAACTATTAGATTGTTGGGAAAGTCATGACATATTTTTCTATGTTTTCTATGCAAAAACGCATCATGACTTTACCAATGACCCAATATTTTCATCCTATTGAATTAACTTTTCCTCAAACCCTGCCATTCAAATTAAGGTAAAAGTGATTTCTGAATTAAGACTGTGTTTTAAATTTTTATGCGTTGTTTAAAAATATCTTCTTCTGCTTCAAAATTGCATATGTACCAAATTTCAGAGATGTGACTACTAGCATCTCTTCTGGTCTATAAAATATTGTTACTTCCTAATGAGAAAGGAAAGGGTTTCTTTGACAGCGTCCTGAAAAAGGGCTTACCCTAAAACCGCCCTGCTTTTGTTCAATCTGGGTCCCTGTCCAGCCTTAAGGTACAGAAGAAAGGAAATACAAGATAAACAGAAAGAAATGAATGCAGACCTAACAGCTTCAACACCAGGTTTCTTTTGGAATTTCCTGGTATAATCCTTTAATGGAGCTGCCCACTCTTGTATCCTCACTCAAAGCTGGCGAAGGGCCCTTTGTAGGTAGCAGGTCTGTCCTGGCTGACTCCTCTTGCAAGCAAGTCAATTCACCCCACCCCCTTCCGATTCCACTCTTTTTTTGAGAGAGAGATTTTTGCTATAGTTCACAAGCTCTCACCAGAGAGACAGAGAGAGGAAGTGAGAAATCACCCCATGGGGGGATGGGCATGCTGCAATCCCTTCTCCATTTTCCTCTTGGGATTTTGGGCACAAATGCATACACACCTGCAGTGAGTTTTAAGCCACTGGGTCCAGGACTCAAACACAGTTGACTATGTGAGAGTCCAGGTACATGACCATTATGCTGTCTGCTGGTCCACTGATTCCATTCTTTAGTCACTGGTTCCCAGAGTGTGGTCTGAATTGTTTGTGAGGGGAGAAAA